CCTCGTTGGTGCTCCGCAGGAAGGTCCGGCGGACTACGAAGTCCATCTCCGCGAAGGTGTAGTTCTCCGTGAGGTCTCGGTGAATTTTTTGAACGCGAGGGGAAAACCAGAGACGGATCCATTTGGCCATGGGCTTTTCACCCAAATCGTACCCCCAGTGAATATCAACTAATCCAAACTAAAATGGACTAAAATGGATGGTGCACCTATCCCTTCACGTTGGGTATGGGGAGCAAAAATATCAAATTTTAGCAGTGATGTGGATTTGGATTTCAACCACTAAACCACAATAAGCAAAAATGTTACATGTTTCCCAACAACAACCATGAAGAGTCCCTCAAAACAAGCACTCTTGTTTCAAACACACATGATAGATTGTTTTTGATTGAATATATATATATATATATCATTTATTTGTGCGTAGTTTCTTAAACCATCCCCACAAGTAAGTGGCAAGGAAAACCAGCTCCACAAGGGAGTTGCAAGGAAAACCAATGCGTCCCAATAGTAAGTTTACATTAAATTCAATGGTTAGAGGGGAAATCACCAGAACCCCAAAAGTAATTTTGAGAGCCCCACGAAATGTTCACTTCTGGTGTCCTGGCAACGCGGGGTGTCCCCTTGGAGAACCCGTTGACCAACGGCAGACTACCGAGCCTGAGAAACGGAGAAACGCATTGGGAGCCCTGGTGGAAAGCAATCAAAAGGGCTGCGGGCAAACCTCAAATTCATTCGAATGTACTCATTCCACAGAACTATGCATCTCTGGAAAGGGAAGACCCATTTTGAATTGTGTCGCTTGGCCTTTATTCGCATTCACATGTACATCTTGCTTGACCCATGTCCAAACCGTTCTTCGAACTGCGACACTTCCGACCCTCCCATCCCTCCCAAACCCATAGCAACCCATTCAGACCAACTCAGACTTCAAAACAGACAAGCAATTCCCAAAATTCAGCGCAAAACAAAAAGCCCGGAAACTCCTGCAAAACCCACTGAGTGTCCGGAGAACCGCTTGGGTTAGAGCCTTTTGCAGGATGCGATTTGCACTGTTTGGTGAAACCTTGCGCAGTGCTAGGTGCAAACAGTTTGGTTCGCATACCGGCTTCATGGTGGGAGATCATGCGGGCTCAGCAGAGCATGTGCAAAGGGGCGCTCCGGATGCCAATTATTATTCAGATGCCAATTATTATTCAGATGCCGTACGGTTCAAATATCATGCTATCGCTCGAAGGCCGTTGCGAAGTCTGATTTCCAGCATCTCACCCAGTTGCTGGTGATGCTGGTGATGCCGACGATGCCGCTGCATGCCAGTGCTGCTGAGTGTGTTGCTGGTGATGCCAATGGTGCGGGATGCTGCGCCAAATGATGCTGGTGCAACTTCGTAACATCATGTTTGCCCAGGAAAGAACACGTGCACACACAATTTGAGGGATTTTCCATCTCTGTGTTCTTCCGCTGTTTTTTGTGTTTGTTCCGTTCTCCCGTGTTTTTTTGATGAGACCCGAAAAAAACAATCTGAGTTTCAGGAGTGCTGCAGCCGCCAATTCAAAAAACTGGAGTGACCCATGACGAGGGCCTCAAGCGCAAGGGGCTCAGCACTGCTGGGGTCACTTCGGGTTGCGCAGGCGTGGGTTAGGCTGGGATTTAAGTGGGTTCGGGGCTCAAAAAACCGGAATTCCAAAATGGACTGGTAAGTGGAAACATGGACCAAAACCTGCGGTTTGCCCCTCCTGTTTAATTTGAGCCACACCCAAGTGGGTTTGGGGCTGGACAGTGGATTTAGGGTTGATTTATTCGAGTTGGGAACTGTTCAGGTTCGTTTAAGGCTTAGGGTTCACAGTACCAGTCTGAGCCCGAAACAAGTCCAACACAACCAAACTAGGACCAACAGCCTCCTTTCCCCGATGCCAAGCAGGGCCCCCGACTGGCCAGCGTGTCAACCGCCTGCCGCTGTGGATGGGAGCGGGAACCATGGGGTAGTCTCTCAGGGTGCTGTCGGATACCAACAAGGAAAACTCGCTCCCAAACGAGAGTCTGAGCCTCTAAAGGAACTGCAGCTTCTACTTTGCAGGTTCAACAAGCCAGCAATACTGCTCTCGTCAACACTGTCTCATAACATACCCAGTGCTTCCAGCTGAAGGTGGCAAGGTACTGACCATTCACAAACGTCTATTTTTTTAAGGCTCGCTTGGTATTCCTCTGGCTCTTACCCCACCACTGGAACAATCAAACGCAGATCGATGAAGAAGCACTTGTTTTCGCCTTTGCAGTCCACCCTTGAACTGTCCCACCGAAACCAACCCTGAGCCAAATCCTCAACCCACCCCCTCGGCAGCTGCTAGGGCGCATTAAAGGGACGGTACCACATCAAGCACAGCACATCGAGCAACCGAACCCCTCACATATCCTCAACTCCATAAGCCGCAAAACCAAGCACCAACCCAAAACCACCAACCCCCAAACCACCAACCCCAAAACCACCAACCCCAAAACCATCAACCCCAAAACCATCAACCCCAAAATCACCCGAACTCCTCCACCCCGCCATTCCCACGGCCCACTCGGCTCCGATTCCCATGCCCGCGCCGACTCCCGCAAGGCAGCCGCCCACTGGGCATCGGAGCGCGAGACCTCATCGCACTGAGCTCCGTACGCGAAGCCAAGCCAAGACCAGCGTCTTTCACCTCCGCGCTACCACCACAAAAGCAGGTTGTAGGTCAAGAACATGTTGGCTCAACGGCCAGCAATTGCCCATGGATTTCAAGTCTGTTTTACAATCCGCTCACGCCAGGTTTTTCCGAGGCGGGGGGGAGGATCAGCCTCGGCTTCCTTGGGGGGAGGCGGGGGGGGATCAGCATTGGTGTGTGTGTGTGTGTTTGTTTTTCTGACGCCTTGGCCTTCAAGCATCATGTTATCTATGTTAACCATTTGGGCTCAGAGGCCCTTCTATTCTATATGAGAGCCATGCGCCAACGGTGAAAGGACCTTGCAGCAGTGCTTTACAGGAACCACGGTACTCACACTGCAACCAGGGACATCCATCCATCTGATTCCATCAGGTTCTTATTGAAACAGATCCAGGGCCACCAAGTGGTCACCAAGACTGCTACCACAGCGAATATCACAACCTGACGACTTAAGCGCCCCGTTCGGCGCCCTGCATTTGTCGCATGCAGTCCGAGCAGTTGTCTAGCCAAAACATGCAGGAAGACTGTTCAAGACTACCAGGATGGCATGTTGCTACGCGCTGTTTCCAGGCATGTTTCAGCTGCTGCACGCATCCTGCCAGCTTGCCCCAGTGGATGCATCTTGGTCCCAAAGTCGTTTCCAACACAAACAACTCCACAGGAATAGTAACTTTCAGTTCACATGGACCGAACACGTAAGCGTAAGCATCCACCTGAAGTATGTTGGTAAACGACAGTTGTCGCACAGCTGCTTCACTGCAAGGACATGGCTTCCGAACGATCCGTAGCGAAATTATGTAGGGAACACAAATGTTTACGAACGGAAAATCCTGAACTGCCACGCCTGCCATTCAAATCAACGGGCAATTGCTGGGCGTAAAGCCAACATGTTGCTTGACCTCCATGCCCCTCCGGCACCCAAACAAGTGGGAGAAAAAGGTTGTGTTTGTTCCTGGTGTTTGGATTGTGCAGTAATCCTGCAAGAATCCGGCGACCAATTTAACTTCATCAACTACACTGAACACCTTCGCTCGGTGAAACGAAACATGAACAAACATCAACATGCTTTGCAGGGTTCTCGGCCCAAAACCACCCTAAAGAAGCTCCCCAAGCAGTCCAAGCAGTCGGTCTGTCTGCCGGTTCATTTGGGACGGTCACAATCTGCACCTCTCGTCGAGGGGGAACTATGCGACGACCATCTCAAGTTGGCTTCAAGAGCACCATCCTTTCCGGGGTTGCCAAAACACAACGGAAGTTGCCAGTGGGGGGTGGGGGGGGATCAAATACTTGGTTGCTGTTGACCCCCCTGCAAAAGTTTAACTTTTTGGGGGTTTAGTAGAAAACACTTTTATTTCAACCAAAAAGTTAAAGTCTAAAGATCCAACCCCAATAGCAGTCAAGAAAAGGACACGTGGATAATCTCTTTTCAGACCCCTACAACGACCCCTACCACGCCCCCGCCTGCGCAAGCAGCTTCAAAAGGAACTGCTTCCGCTCCGCCTGCCAGCATTGAAGAGCATGATCCTTTGTGCTCTGCCAAAAGCTAGATGGCTGTGGTGGTCAAAACTACAGCCATGGGACAGGTTTTAATCCATGTTTCCATTTAGGCGTGGCTCAAAATTAAACAGGAGGGGCAAACCGCTGGGTTTTGGTCCATGTTTCCACTGACCGATCGGGCAACCCATTTTGGCCTATACCAGTTCTTGAGCCACGGCCATTTACCAGGTGTTCCCGGTTCCTGGGCCCCCATAATTCTTGACCCGCCACGGTGTTCAGAGCCTCGGGGGCTGCCCGTGTTCAGATCCCCCGGGAAAAGTGGATCACTTTCAGCGGGTTAAACGGAAACTAAACACCAAAAGGCTAAGAGGTTCAGGGGATGGCTGGGACCAAGACAACAGGGAGACCCCTAAAAACGGGGTAAGATCTCCTTTGGGCTCACTAGTCTATGGAAACAAGACGTGCCCGCGTCCTTTGCGGGAACCACGCATTGTTTTGCCTCATATAGACGCCCGCCGATGGCCCCCACACCTCGAAAGTACAGTGGTTTCCCGTGATAGGTTCGGCGGCAATTCCTTTCTCGAGAAACAAACACTCCTGAGAAACACCTGGGAGCACTGTTCTCCAAAACGCACATGGACCCTCCCAACACAAAAAAAAGAGAGCGTGGTATCCAAGGTGGTATCCCTGTGATCCTATGTCTGCCAGCAGGCGGTATCGACGTGGAGCCGTCTTTTCGTCTATGCGTCGGGTCTGTCGAACACATCGAGCCAGCAATCCCCGCATCGCGGCTTCTGGTGTGCTTCAATCATTCTAATCCAACTGCAGCTTTGTACTCATCGCAGAGGCAACCAATGACCCCAGGCACAGTCCGCCGTTCACTGCACAGGCCGACAATCGACCACAGGTCTTCCGTTGCTCGGCGGTGAGCGTGGGAATCTCGTTGATCACGATCCTGGCTGGGGAGACAGAAAACCCAACACTTCAGGCATCGTTCAGTTTCCAACTGGGAGACCTCTCAAAACTCTTTGGGGAATATGTAAGCCCGTCAAATTTTGGATGTCATCTTTGCCTATTGGAAGGAGCGATTGGGAAGCTGATCAACAACAAGGTTGGTGGCGTTCTCACTGATCCCAATCAGAAAGTGTGGCTGAAATAGTACGTCTCTTTGGGACTTTGACCACTCGGGTTGGTCGGATCAGGAGGTTCTAGCGTCAGCAGGCTACGAATTCTCGATGAAATGTCAGGCTGTTGACCAACCATCAGAAAGGGATTCAAACGCAATCGAGCTGCTTCGATCAGCCTCGAGCGAACATCAAGTTACATTGATATTCAGACTTCTCTTCACCATCTTTTGCCCAGGCTCAGCGACAAGGATCCGCTGTAGCCATTCAACAGGCCAAAGGCTGCGACAGCCACCATGGACCAAAAATCGCTGGTAGCTCCGACAGCACTGGTCAGCATAAGAGGAACCAAGAGGGCTCGCAGGAGGACCGTGTACCTGGGCGTCAACGCAATTGACTCGGCGAAACATGGAAACTGGAGTTGAAGCTCACCTCGCGTTTCGTTTGCGGTCTGGCTACTTTGGGAGAATTTTTGGGAAAATCCAACTCGAGAACGATGAACTGAACGTGAATCCAATGATTGAATGAAATCCAGAACATGATTTGGAGTGAAACTGATTCTCAAATGCAATTGATGTGTTATTTGGCCGGTGTGCCCGCTCAGCGGCCACGGGCGGGTAGCCTGCTAATTAAATGGCACTGGCTCAAAAACATGTGCCAAAATAGCACCTTGGTAAATGGAACCACAGACTAAAACCAGTGTAACCCTTGCTCTTTGTTTCACAAGTGAACTCCTGATCACGATCCTCTCAAACATCTTCTGTTGTAACATGGACAGCCCTGTGACGAAAAGGAAGGACCCAACAACAGTGGACAAGACATTCAGTCCGAAAGTAGACTATTTTTCGGAGGGTAGATTGAACACTTCAAGACGATATTTACCACGCTAAATCACATTCGAAGGAGCTGGACATTTCCATGGTCAAGGCCGAAGCGGATGTGCGTGCAAAAGCGGGCCACGATGTCAAACATGGCAAACCTGAGCGTTTGCTTCGGATTACGCGATGGGCCGATGTACCAGCTACCAGCCACCAGCTACCAGCTACCAGCTACCAGCTCTACCAGCTACCAGCTACTTGCAAGAAGACGGGAGATCCACATACCTTTCCTTCAGCCAACAGGCTTTGCCGGACAGGCCCTCACAAGTTGGTTGGTGAAGCGCTGAGGGCTCTAGACATCTCGCCAAGCGGCACAGTTAAGAGAATTGTTTGAAACCATTCGTCCACATCCAAGGACTTCATCTGCTTGCAAGGAATCGCAGTGATCAGGCCTGGGTAGCACAAGGTCGTGAGGAAGAAGTTCCCAAAGATCACTAGCTGATTGAACCACACCACCTCAGTTGCGCGACCGGAAAACAGAAAGAAACAGTGCGGCTGACACAAGAACAGCCGGCTTACACTCTAAAACATCAAAGGCCCCGCCAAGACACTCTAAGCGTGAATCCAGCTCCTGCTCCTTGAAGACAAACGCTTTCTACATTCATCAACCCATGGCCCTGTTTTTTTCGCCACTTCAGAAAATGTCACGTCTGATTCAAGACTCCCATCTTAAGCTTCCTCCACGTCCCCTGGCTACACTTGCCGCCCCAGACACTGATAGCACCGCTCCCACCGTCGCTCCGCTTTCGACCTTGGCGACCGCGTTTTCACCCGAGGCGTCGCCGTCGGTAGACGCTGCGCCGTAGTCAGCCCTCGACGTTCCGCGTGGAAGGCGGAGGTGCTGCGAGGCGGGCAGCAGCATAAGCAAGCGATAGGCGGAAATACAAACCTGAGCTTTGGACGAGGCTCTGGACGAAGCCGCTACAGCGACTCGTCAAAGGAATCCATGGGACTTGGGGACTTGGGGGTGGTTGTTTCGGCGTCAATGGAACTAAAAATGAAGGATTGTCAGGGATAGTCCAAGACCATTTTGACAGTGTCTTCCGGCGGGTTTTGAGGACCCCTCTATTTTAGAAGTCCTTTACGAGTAGAACTGACATGGGAGTCCTGAGCATCCCAAGTCACGGTGACTTGCACTTCAGGTTGACATGCTACAGCCACTATCTTGGTAGGACTGGCACCATTCTCTCTCCATGATAGAATGAACCCATCTATTTTTGCCATACTTTACTGTGTTATTGTGTTGATTGTTTTCTATTGTCGTGTTCGACTCTGATGAGTAAAACATCCCGAACGCAACAGGAACCCAAACGTGGAAAAGCCAGCCCTGCACCTTCCCAGTTATTCCTCTGTTTTGAGAACTGGCCCTTTTCGGCAGGGGTTCCTTCTCGTTCCACCCGGCGAGTCAAAAGCCGAAGGCCGAAGGCGCCAGCACCGTGGCTAGGGCCACCACGAAGAACACCGTCGAGGCCACGGAGACCTCTGAGGCCACCAGCTTCGTCACGTCGCCTTCGGTTAAATGGGATGTGTTGCGGGGAAGGCGCTGGCCCGAAGTCATGGACATCTAGGGGCCCCACTAAAGCATCACCAGTTTGGATCCATGTCGTTCTCCTTGTTCATTGTGCATTCTAAAAGAGCTCGGCGGTTAAAGCGGACTCAAACTCGAACCCAAATGGAGCGGACTGCCGAAACCTCCTTTGTGCTGGGGGAACCTATATTATGCAGGTCTTCGGCAGGTGGCTGGTGTAATGCTCGCCAGGTCACGATAAGCCACGGAGACCAGGGTCCCAAAACCTCGGACAAGGAGCTACAGCCGCCCAGCTCGCGTGTTCGGCTTGCAGCTAGAAGCTGAAATCCAAAGATATCCAAAAATCTCCTAAATCAGGAGGGGGGTGATTTCGTCAGCCACCACTTTACCACTTTGTCGGCCTTCCAACGAAGAGATCCCATTCCGAGCAGGATGTGCCAAAAAACCACGCTGACTTCGCTTGGGGTTCCAGGGGCCATCAGTTGCTTTTGGTAACCGGAAAAGACCCTGACAGCCGGAAAAAACCACATCCAAAGCGGTCAAATTCCAGTAAATCCCCATGCTCGGAGTTTGCCTGCGCCGCATTTTAAGACAAATCCCTTCAAGTCCAAGAATGAGCACGAGAACACCGGCTGGCAACTGACACCTCAAGGCCAAGTCGCCCAAACCGATCTGCAAATACGCCTGCATCTTGGAGCTGTATTGCGAGCAGAGCGAAAGCAGCGCGGAGTCCAAATAGCCCGTGGCCACCGAGCAAAGCAGCACCACACCCAGCAGCAAGTCATAGAGAAGGGAGGGAGGACAACGGAGCCACTTGAACCCGAGGATGACCTCAAGCCAGAACTCCGGGAAACACGAACATGGCATTTTGGTTCATGTTCTTTGTGTTGGCCCCATGACTTATGCTCGAATCATGTGAATCAACTCCTTGAGCAACGCGTTCCGCACAGTCTCAAAGGGCATGGGAGTCGCTTCCTCAACGTTTTTTGTTCGCCTCTTATTTGTGCGTAGCAACCAACTGCCAACGGCCTATGAACCGCCATGTTCATCGAATCGACCAAGCGACTGAGAGGCAAAGGAACTGCCCAGCAAAGCCTCCCAAAATTCGTGGCCCAAACTGAAACGTCTCCACGAAGGACAAGGCAAGCACCGTCAAGATGGAACCTGCCTGGCGGGCAGCTTTCCAGTTTCAAGCGGCAAAATCACACAAGCACAAGCTCAGCTCCAAAAAAACATGCTTAACGTAGACGGTTGGGGAGGCGGGTGGGGGAAGGAATTTATGAACAGGCTACATCAATTCACTTCTGCCCTCTAAGGTAGACACATGGCACGTCCAGGCCGCAGGTGTCTTTGTCAGACCTAATGCCGTGGTGTCCGCAAACTATCTAGGCAGTCCAACAGCTTGGCAAAAGGGTTGATATGCCAGTGGCACAAATCGGAACTAACCCATGCCTAAATACTTCATGCGTGGTATATTCGCATACATTGGGGGTGGGGGTGCTTCAGGCATTCACATGGCATTCGCGATGCTGGCCCAGCCTGGTACAAGGCCGTCACAGCAAACTCCACATTTTGATCAGGAAAAAGCAGTTTCCAGTAGTCGAAGGCAGCCCAAATGGCGGCGATTGGAAAGAGGTAGCCAATGCCAATGACCACCATACCTTGATTCATGTCTTTGTTTCCTTGACATTGTGTTTATTATGATCATGCTATCTTTCGGCAGGGCCATCTTCTTTCATTTCTGAACTCGATGGACAAGTTTTCCCAAAAGCATTCCAGGAGCTCCATGTCCGGCCGAATGTTAGAGTGGGATCCGCGGCTCGGTGTGAACTCCACCCATGGGCCTTTGGTCCATGGAACGCTTCTCATGGCTGCCATGCCGCAAAGCTCTGCGAGCCCCTCACCCTTGGAGCTTGGCTTCGTCTCTTCCAGCAGTCGAGTGGCCTCAGGGGCCTCCGCATCACCCATGGCTAAAAGGTAAAACGCACCTGAGGTGCGTAAACCCACGTATGAAACCTGAGACACGTAAATGTAGGTGCTACGTATTTGCAGTCTGGACATATATGCGACCAAATCTGAAACATGTTTTGCTGGACTGCGAAGATCCGTGTGAAGTTCATATATATATATATATATTTATTTATTTGGAGCATATTGTTCTGCCCATCTAGTAGATCCACCAAAGAAACAGTCATGACTCAGGCACAAACAATAAACGATATATCGTTGTTGGTCTGGAATTGCGTGATGGACATGTTTGGTCATGTGTCCAGGATTTTCCTCGGCGGGGTTCTCTCGGTTCGATATCGGCTCGAGCAAAACATCGTCACGACGCAACACGACGCGACGCGACGCAAGCCATACGGCATGGACCTGTCGCTGCTGCGGAAAAGCAGCAAAACAAGGCACATGTCATAGGTGTCCTTTTAGGGGAAATAGATGGCCCTGGTAAATGATTAAACCACCAGGTAAACCAGGGCCATCTATTTTTCTAGCAAAGCAACCAAAAAGGACACCTATGGCACATGTCCAAAGACACTGCGGAGGCTTCAGGCTCCAAACTTTCTTAATCTTGAACCCAGGCCCGAATGGAATTCAGTCGGCTTGGATCTACCTGTCCTATTCTAAGCTTGGTCCGAAGATGCAAACAAACAGCTATATCGGAGCCAATGACCCAGTAAGAAGCAAACAAGCCAGTGAAGCAGTAAATAGACAACAAAGTAAAACTTCTGGACCATGGGTTGAACTATGTTACGTCCGATTCTGATAAATGTGAGTCATGACCCCCGAACCCGAAACCCCAACAAAGCAAGGGCGCAAACATGTAAGTTATGGAGACAATGGCCTGAGAAAGATACAAATTCTTGCTTAAAGGTTCTACGATGTTCATTGCAAACAAGGCTTTGTTCAAAAAAACTCACGGTTCTTGCCTTTTTTGGTTTTGCTTGGACATCAATGAGGATTTAAACACATTTAACTTGGAACTATTGTCTTAAACTAGACTTGAAAGAGGATGCCTGGTTGATTCAAAACAAACTTGAACTGGAATCGTTTTGTTCCTTCTTGTTCTTCTTTGTTTTTCTATATATATTTCTCGACATAGATCTTAACATATCTTAACTAGGATTCTGTGTTGCTCAACTTTCTCATTAGAATGCTCATGGATCTTAATACGGACATAATTCAAGTAGAGACACTTTGCTAGTAACTCATTGACAGAGGACATGAACACATACAAAAAACTAACATATAAATAATAAATGAAAAGTGATGGACGAAGATAATTATAGAAAGGACAAAGGACAACCAGCCAATGACCAAGAACCTAAATGCTTTTCCCTTCGTCATTCCATTCCTGATCCTTTTCCTGCATTTGGATGAGTCTTAGGGAAGTGAATGGGAGGTGAATGGTAGGGAGAAAGAGATCCCATTCACCGCACGCCATTCCTTTCCTCTCTTCGCTCGTCACTTCATTCTGGTCTACGGGAAATGCCTTGATGAAGATTAGGTGAAAGACAGGAAAGGAAGAATAGACCCTGAGCACCTTTCCCTTTCACTCACTACCTCTCTTTCCTATATCATCTTCATCTTGGATGAGTTGGATGACAGGGAAAGGGAGAAGGAGGAAGTGAAAGAGATGTCCCGCCTCCAAGTCAGTCCTTTCTATCTCTCACACATCTTCCTCCTCCATCCGCTGGCCAGTTCTTTCCAGCGGTTACAAATGAATGAAGTTGGAAACAGAGGTTGGGTCACAAGTGAATGAATGGGAAGGAAAGGGACAGATGGGAAAGGATAATGATGGATGAATGATCACTCTCTCACCAGAACTTCATCAAGAGTGAAGTGATGGACGAAGGACGAGCGAACGGGGACAATCACCTGTTTACCCTTTTCTCCGTCTCATGGTCATCCCCTCTGTCGCCAATTAATAAAATCCTTGACATCACAACCTCTTCCTCCCTTTAACTTTTATCTCATGGACTCTCTCCCTTCCGAGTCGTTGCGGGTTCTCTGTGGTTTCCCTTCTGAACCTCGAAGAGGAGACGCCAAAACCACGGGGCTTCGAAGCGCTGGCGTCCAAACAGCCAGTGATGTGTTTGGCTGACAAAGGCCTGGTCTGACCCTCGAGCCCCACCTCTTGGGCAAAGATTCAGCTTCCAGAACCGCATTGCGAATCAAACGGGTATGGGTCACAACTGAACCACCGGGAATTGGACCGCTGGTTTTCGTCCTTGGTTCCATGTACCAGGGTTCCCAGATTTTTGGGGTTACCCTATTTTTGACCCACACCTGTCCATTGGTACAAGTACCCTGTACCTTTTCGGGTTCGGCAATTCAGCCCTCGGCGCATCTTTAAACTATGTGACCCCCGAGTTTGTGGTCTTTCTTTCGGCTTTCCTTTGAATCCACCCCCAAAAGGGTACCCTCAAAAAGAAACCCATGATTTGATCCTTGTGTTAATCACAAAGGATCAAGGCTTGTTTGGGACTCTGGTTTTACATTGGCCTGCTTCAACACGAGTCCAATGGCTGCCTGGCTTCAGAATTTCAACAACCGCCCATAGACAGGGTTCCTTAAGCGTCCCCTCTAAACATCACCACACAAAGGCAACTTATCCGTCAAGATTGGCCTGTCCGAAAAGTCAAGTTTGAACCACCAAGACGGCTGTGCTTTTCAATTACAGACCCTTTGGCGGTGGACATCATTTACAAATTGATATCCACCAACCATTTCTGGGGGTCCATAATATGGGTGTGGCTCAAAATCAAACAGGAGGGGTTACGCAGGTTTTGGTCCATGTTTCCACTTACCAGGGTTCCAGTTTGGTACCGTTTTTTTGAGCCACAGCCATATAAAGACCCTTGATGCTGTGCAGAACCCCGACTCTCTGGATAGGCGTTCCGGAAGCTGTTCGAAAAGAGGCCAGGATTCGCCACGGAAATTTAGAGACGTGGCCGTGCCGCGAACTGCGGGCTGACTCATTGAGAACCTCACCCAAGTGTTTCAGTCTCTCACTCATTCAAACTAACTTCTGGCATCTTCGGCCGTCGGTTTCGAGGGTCGCCGTTTCGGGCCCCAAAAAAGCATCGAGGGTTATATAGGCCATATGGTAGCTCCCGTATCTTTCCTCTAAACAGTTGCTGATGCCCCAACTGTGGATTCCAAGGGCGGATCCAGAGGTGCACACCAGCCCCATCTTGACACCCAAAAAGCCCAGAGCTTTCATGGCATCAATCTCCCACTTTTCGTCAACCCCCAAAGAATGGGTGGACCCAACCGCTGGAATTCCAAGTCCATCGAGGTGCTCGTCGATTTATGGGAGCGCCCCCACCAAGAAGAAAGCTCTCGGCGGTGGTGTTCAGCCAAACGCTCGCCCAAGCCACCGGCTCATCTTCGTTCCCTCTTCCCTTCCCAACTTCCCTAGTAGAACCCCTTGGCATAGGTGTGACGCCCCATTTCAGCCGCTTCAGTTTTGGGTCCCAAAAAAAGAAGATAAAAACAAATATTTTTAAAAAAGAAGAGAACAAACAACAAAAGGCGAGGAAAAAGAAAAAAGAGGAAGGCCAGGCTCACCGCGAACCGCGCACCGAAGCGCGCGCCCCGGGCCTGGCCGGGCGCCGAGATCCGCACCACGAAGCCGAAGGGGAAGAGCCTCGCAATGATCGGAGCCGCGGATTCGCGCGGCTTCGCGCGGAGTCGGCGCCGGCTGGATTTTTTTCGGAGATCTCCCAAGGATCCATGGCCGGATGGAGCCGATCCCCACATTTTTGGGACTCCCAAAAATTATTGTTTGTTCGGCTCGATCCCGGGACGATCCCCCCCGATTTTTGTGGGACTCATTTTTGTTTGTCTCAAGGAAAACTGCGGAGTTGAAGGAAGGCGCTAAGATTTGAAGTCATGAGGTAAGTTGTTTTTGCCAAGGTGGGAGGAGTGTCTGATTGAGGAGACTTTGAGGTCTGCATTTTTCTGGGGGGTTGTCCAAAGGGAAGCCCAAAGGTTGCGAGGTGACCATTGGAGACCTGACATAGGGAAGCCCCCAACGTAAGACGAAAAGACTTGGTCAGTCACTCAAGTTCCCACCCGAAAGGCCGGCTTCCTGAGAACGGTCACCCACCTTTTGCTCACCTGACGTTTCGAGAGAATCGGGGAAACCGATGCCCATCTTGGGGGTGACCCCCGGAGACACAAGGAAAAGCCTCAGTTGGACGAAACAGACGTTCAGGGGCCCAGTTCAGGGGGTCTGTGAAGTTCCCAAACATTGCAGTTGAGGGGAACCCCGGTAAATGGCGATGAACCCCCCCCCCAATTTCAAACAGCTTGTACGAACCCAAAAATGAACCCCTGATATGAAGCGCCAGCTTGGTGAACTGGCAACCCTCCCCCAGTCTCCCAGAAAAGTGGGTAAAAGTTGGCACTACTGGGGGACCCTCCCAACCAAAAAAGTAAAAGGTTGGCACTACTCAAACCACCCAGGATCTGCCCGGAGCGAGGCTCGGCGCTTCTTTCTTCCGCTTGGGGCGCCGACTCCCGGGGCTGCAGGAAGGCGCTCGGGTCAGAGCCTCAGCCGAGTGACTCGTCTGCCTTGGCAATGGACCTCAGCTCCAAACCAAATACCTGCACATTCCCCTTGAGAAAAAGGCGGTTCTTCCACCATGCAATGCAGGTTCATGAAAACAAGTGGTGGTTTTTTTCCACCATGCAATGTAGGTTCAGGAAAAAGAATGGTGGTTTTTTTTCCACCATGCAATGTAGGTTCAGCTGGGTAGACGTAGGACAAAATGATAGATCGTGGCGTGGCGCCAGTATTCCTGCAGAAGGTTGGCATGGATGGGGAAGGTGGTAGACTGCATAAGCTGGGAAATCAGGTCGCGCATCTTGGTGCATTGAATGCCAGAAGGGAAACCCCCCAACAGCGCTTCAGGGTAAGCCTTTATAGTCCCTTGCCGGCGATCCTTGCGATCCGTCCCGCTTCTTGGCTTCCCTTTGGCTTCAAGAGTTGTCCCTTCCCAGCGTCTCCGCGTCCCCCACCGGCCGTGGCCACACAGACCACCCGGGATTTCGCCCTGGCCACCTGAAGGCGGCAGGCGGGATTTCATGAGATTTGCTCTGCGAAGCAAAAGGAGCCTGGAAGGGATGAAAGAGGTGGAAGGGATGGAAGGTGTGGAAGGGGTCGAAGGGGTGGAAGGTGTGGAAGGGGTGGAAGGGGTGGAAGGGGTGAAAGGGGTGGAAGGTGTGGAAGGGGTGGAAGGGGTGGAAGGGGTGGAAAGGATGGACGGGATGGAAGGGGTGGAAGGGGTGGAAGGGGTGGAAGGGGTGAAAGGGGTGGAAGGTGTGGAAGGGGTGGAAGGGGTGGAAGGTGTGGAAGGGATGGACGGGATGGAAGGGGTGGAAGGGGTGGAAGGTGTGGAAGGGGTGGAAGGGATGGAAGGGGTGGAAGGGGTGGAAGGGGTGGAAGGTGTGGACGGGATGGACGGGATGGAAGGGGTGGAAGGGGTGGAAGGGGTGGAAGGGGTGGAAGGGATGGAAGGTGTGGAAGGGGTGGAAGGGGTGGAAGGTGTGGAAGGGATGGACGGGATGGAAGGGGTGGAAGGGGTGGAAGGGCTGGAAGGTGTGGAAGGGGTGGAAGGGATGAAAGGGGTGGAAGGGATGGAAGGTGTGGAAGGGATGAAAACCCATTTGTAGAGGAAACCAAAGGAGAAAGTATGGCAAAGTATACCCGGCGTGTAAATTGAAGGAAGGAAAACCAACAAACAAGTCCCAAAAAAACAACTGTCCATGTGAATCCGAAAAGTTTGCAGGGGAGCGGCAACAAACCGCTGCCTCTGTTGGAACATGATTCAGCCCTTCACTTGGCCACCGGCCGCCTTCTCTGGGAAAAAACACAAAAACCCAAGAGGCGTGGCACAACTGGGGGAAATGAGAAAAGTCGTGCTTTTTTTTTGGCCGGTGAATCTGCATGGCATGATGGGCATACAGTCCACCCACTTCCGGAAAAAAAAAAAAAAAAAAAAAAAAAAAAAAAAAACGAAAAAATGGAAAGAAACAACTCCGAGGGTGCGATGCGCTTCCAACTTGTCCAAACTAAAAGTTGCGATCAGCCGTGAAACACGTCAAGAGGCAGCACGAGTTCGAAGTCGGTTCATCCGACCGGGCTCCAAAAAGCGGAAAAGCGGAATCCGCCTGTCCGGTACCTGTTGGGTTACCAGCCCCAGCCCTCAGTCTCGGAACATCAATGTCCCAAGCAAAGCTGACGGTCCCAATGGAAATACGGGAGCCCCACAGAAGCTGGCAACTCAAATTACCAAACTGGAAAATGTCAGAGGCCCGCCAGAGAGAAGAGCCTTCATGTGTGAGCTCGGAAACAAACACTCGAATCGGTGGAATTGCTCTTGAACCCACCATCAAAGACGGAAACACCCCGAGCCGACTTTGGCCCCCTCCACCCCAAACAACAATTTAAACACAGAAACGTCCAAACAAATGGGAGCACCGACTTTGGCCCATCCGCGCGCGGATTTGTTTAAACGATCCTCTCGCCTCGCCCAGGCAGCGTCGGATTCTCAGGGCAGCCTCCGGAGCCGACTCCTGGGCTCGTAGCGACGTCTGGCGACTCAGGTGTCTGGGCAAAGGAGACTCTAAGGGTTTTTGCGGATTCCACGGAGAAATCTGGGTGTCAGATTTCTCACCCTAGAATGAGCTTGCAAGCGGGCGACCGGCGATCTCGGGCTGGCAGAGTCAAAATGCACCGCCCTCCCCCCGGGATAGGTTGCCAGTCTACCGCCGGTTTCTTGATTGGATGAGTGGGTATGATTGTCAAAGCCGATGTTGCCGGGGCTGATTGATTGCTTCATCATGTTCAGCGCCTGTTGCTCTTGTGTTGGTGTCCCTAAGGCGGCCGCATGGTTTCAACAAATTTGCCACTTGGACCTGTGCGTCTAATACTACCATCATTCAGGTTGGTTTCAAGAGAACCCAACAACAAATACAATGCCATCACGTGCCAATTTAGATAAGCCATATCCATTCATACATCCAGTGTAATTGTCTTGAGATGCCGCAAATGCACCGACTCCAATATGTCTGCTTCTTTATGGAAAACGCTGGAAAAGCCTCGAGGTCGGTTCCAAGGTCGCCCGCTCGCGCCATCCATGCGGGGCCATCCTACTTAGCCATGGGTCAAAATCCCAAAATCCAAATCGTACCCCCAGCGAACATCCGATTCAATCCCCGCTAAAATACACTAAAATGAACATCCGATTCAATCCAACCACTAAAATAGGTAACCTAAACTGGGCGGTGAATTCACCAATCCCACCCAAAATGGAATCCGATCCCAAAACGGTCTAACGACCACCACTGCCACTTTTGATTTTTCACGACCGGGGGTTTCCCCCCAAAGCCCGAGGTCACTGCTAGATCTTCGATGAGCACCAGCACAGGCTTAGTGGAGCTGGCAGCCAGCGCCGTCCTGGCCGGTTTTCGGAACTCGGTGGCTTTCTCGAGACCAGACTGACGGTTTGACGTTTCTTTTAGTGGCTTGACCCCGTGTTTGCTTTCTGCTCCCCGGCTATTTTATTTCTTCTTTTTGTAAAACTTTTGGTGGTCTTCATGGGAAAACCCATTTGTTGGCAAACAGTTATTCAGTCCTAACATCCGAGCAAAATGCACCAAAGGAAAGGTAAAGTTGATTTGCTGGGGGGAAACACCGAAATGGATGCTACATTGGGGTAGTTGAGTCATTATGACTTCTGGAGTGCTGAATTTGATGGTGTCCAAATTTGGGGGAAGCCACCGGCAAATTGAGGGGAAATGGGGAAACAGGGTGGGAAAAAACCAAATGCGTGCGAACAAAATTAGTACTTGTTGGGGGGAAACCACGGTGCTCTGCAAAAGATGTTCACAATTAGCCCCACCCTTTTTGGTTTCCTCCTGGGGAAATTGAACATGATGGGCTGTTTAGCCCGCACTGGGCTTTTTTGGGGACAAGATTCACTTGGGGATTGCTCTCCACAAAAACATGTCTGAACATATAATTTGTTGGAGCAAGCGCTCCATGAAAATTTGCCGGGGAGAAAGTAAATGGGCCCCAAAACGACCATAGGAAACTGGCAAGCACGAATGAGTTCAAGATCAAAGCCTGGTATCAACGCAGTTCCGTACTTTTCCAACTGACACAAAACCGTCCCAAAAGGAAGCTTGCGTCAAGTTGCCGTGATAATTAAAGCCACCAAAAGGGCAAGACTGGCAGTGGGAGAGTTTTGACCGTTTGCAAGTCGTCCAAGGCCGAGTTGAAGGGATCGTACTTCCGAGTTGAGAGGGGCGTAATGGTCCATCTCGAAGCGCGAAAACGAGCTCATCAGGCGCAACATGGTGGTGCTGGGCGAAGTGAATGCGTTTGAGGCTGGGTCTTGGCTTGCATTGGCAGACTCTTTCCACGTGGAATCCGCCAGAAGTCCTTTCCATGTAACATAATCCAAAGTAGGGACCTTGGTCAGACTTGGGTGGTAGGGCTGTGCTCATGCTTGAGAGATCGACTCGTTTGCAAGGCACAGCGCAACAGCGGAAAGCCGAAACATTTGCGTGTGCTCATCCGAATGAGCGCCCTTTGCCAGCACAAACCGGACGCGCAGCTTGAACATCCAAACTTTGATTGAAATTGCAAGTATGGTCTCGCATTTGCAGTCAGAACTTCGAAAATAAGAATGGGCGCTACGAGATGCAATCATGCTGTGGGTGGGTGAGAGGGCGTATCCAGGACATACCTTCTGCATGCCTCAAGCCCGCCATTGCCGAAGTGCCAGGTGTTTTCTGACCTGCTTCCAGCATGCTTCAAATCAAAAGCCATGTTTTCTTGATCGTCCCACATGCTTGGGTGTGTGTGTTTTGTGTGTTTTTGGATGGTACCATCTTGGCGCTTGGTGTAAAGGGAAGCCACCCGAAAACTTTCAAAGCCATGAGCTCACCCGACGGGTCCGAGATCGAGACCCGGCCTGCAGAAGTTGGACTGCGCTTCGCGGGCACCGAGGTGCAGAACCTGTCGGCGAAGTCACATCGGTTTATCCAAAGGCTCCCTGCAAGACATAGGATGACCGCTCACTTGCGTGGATGGCCCGACAAAAAGCTCAAACCTCAAATTCACCACTAAGATGGCCTTCCCAAAAAAGCTTAAAGTTCATGAACTGAGGAAGTGAGACCAGGGCAAACCATCGGGACCGAAAAGATTCGGCTCCCCTCCCGGCTTATGCTTCGGATGTGGGGCCCCTCCCAAGAACCGTTGGGGCAAATCACCATGGATCGGCCGCAAACATCGTGATGGCGCCCATGCCTGGGTCTTTGAAACCAAGGAGAAGGAAATGAGCTGCAACGGAACTGTGCTGCAACTTTAGGAGCCATCAAAGCTTGTCATGAGGAGAAATCAAACTCAACTGGAATGAAGTGAGCAAGTGGCAAACAGCGCGGCTTGTGGACGTCAAGCCAAGCCTGGCCCAGAAGGCAATTGTGAAAACCTGCGCGTGTCTCCTACAATTCGGCGACGTCTAATGTTTGAGGCTTCGGAAGGTAGGAGGGGTAATTACTCGTTTCAATCAGGGACCCTTTAATGGACATTATTCGACTGGGGATGATCCACCAACCACTTTTGAGTGGCTGCCCCCACCAATGTGTCAGAAAACCCTCCAAATCGGATGCTGCCCTTTTCGTTCCCCTTTTACACCAACGTTACAGGGAGGCCCCCTTCAAAAAAAAAAGGCAGCCCTTCCAAACCGAGGAAAAGGCGAGTTCCCCAAAAAAGGCCAAGCTGCGCCTGGCCCTGAGGAAGCAAAAAACTGAGAAACTTGCGACAACCCGCCCCCCCAGCCGCCGCTCCCCGCTCCGCGGCCGCTCGTCGCCGACCCCCCGCATCGTCCCGCGCGGTCGGGCGCCTGGGCGTTGGCCTCGCTGGCCGCGGCCTCCGCGGCGGCTCGCTTCCCGGAGCCCGCGGGGCCGCTGAGCAGCAGGGCCCCGCGCCTGGCGGGGGCGTTGGCGGAAGGCGAGTCGTGGCGCTGGCATCGGCGAGGAGGCGGAAGAAGGGGGGGGTTGGCGGGTTGGGAGGTTGGGGGGTTGGGGGGTTGCGGGTTGGGGGTTGGAAGGTGGGGAAGAGGTGCAGGGAGTTGGAGGTTGCGGTGGGGAGGGTAGGGAGGGTGGGGAGGGTGGGGAGGGTGGGGAGGGTGGGGAGGGTGGGGAGGGTGGGGAGGGTGGGGAGGGTGGGGAGGGTGGGGAGGGTGGGGAGGGTGGGCTTGGGAGGGCTTGGGAGGGCTTGGGAGGGCTTGGGAGGGCTTGGGAGGGCTTGGGAGGGCTTGGGAGGGCTCGGGAGGGGTTGGGGAGGTTGAGAAGGCTGCAACCTAACCTGCTTGAGAAGGTTAGGGGGGTAGGGTTGAAAGCTGGCGAGAAGCGGAAAAAAAGGGACGTGTGCAGAAAACGGACAGGCTTTCTTTGAACAATTAAGCTCCAATGTAAGGCAGTAACTGGCAAAAAAATGTGTGCAGACAAAGCCGAAAGAAAGCAAGAACTGCATCAAAGAAAGAGAGTGCGAGAAGAGCGTGGCCAAAGTCGTACGCATTGGGCGCTATTCCGCCCAGTTCTTCGACGGTTTCGCGTTGGGGTTTGTCTCCAAATGGCTGTGGGTCAAAAATAGGGTAACCCCAACGTGGAACCCTGGTAAATGGAAACATGGACTAAAATATGCGGTCCAATTCCTGGTGGTTTAATATTGGCCCACACCCAAATGAGGGACTCCATGTAAAAATGCGTTCTTCGTCTGGGTTTTCCTTCATAGCCTCCCAAAATCTCGGACAGGCAGCACCAAACAACTACACGCCCATTTGGGCACGGCTTGAAGGTGGTCTCAAACTTGGGGTGCACAAAGTCTTGGTTTCTTGTGGCTTCCCTTTCAAACCAACCGCCAAGGGGTTCCCCCCGCGCCCCAAAACTGGACTGGAATTAGGACCGCAGCCAAAATATATATATATATATAGTTTTTGCCTGGTTAGTGGAAAACAAAGGGACCCCAAAAAAGAAAAAGACAAAAACAAAAAGGGGAGCCAATTCTGGGGAAGAAAAAACAACTCGCCCATTCCCCCCCCCCCAAGGTGTTTCAAAAACTGCCAGCGCGGCTCCGCTGAGCGCCAGAAGATGCGGTCGAGGTCCGCCTCAGGCAAGGGAGAAGCAAGTCTTTGGGCGTCCCTGCAGATCTTGGAGCATGGAATCCGAAACGAAAAACTGGAACCCGAACAGAAACCGAGAATCCGAAGCAGATACTGGAACCCAAAACAGAAACAGAGGATCTCCCAAAGACACTTCTCTTCTGATTGGTATTTTTAGGTTGTATAATCACATCTAATCGCTCACACCCCAAGTTTCTTCAGAAAGACCTCCGAAATTGGCAACCTCGGGCCTGGGGCAAGAAGGCATGAGGGCAGGTCGAACCCCAAAGCCACCGGAGCCACTGCCCAAAACCTGCAGTCGCTGTGACCCAGCCCTTTCTCAAAAAGCGCCGGCAAGTTGACGACACTGACGAGATGTCTTCTGAGCCAAAACCGGGTTCAACAGGGCTCCCAATTCATTTTCCCCTTTCACCCCTACTCAGGGACACTTGCCTTTAAAACCTCCAAAGAGGGGAAATATAGGGACCCCTGCTCAATGTGACAGACGGCCTGCCAGAAGGCCTGAACAAACCAAAGGCATGCGGGCCGGCAGCAGGGTTGCACAACCAGCCCCTCAAACCTCAGACCATCAGAACTCTCGTCTCCAAGTCGGCCAAGAATCCAGGACCATCCAAGAAATGCCCAGGTAGGCCCTACCTGGGCAAGAGGATGTCTACATATGGCTGTGGGTCAAAACCCCTTACCCCTGGTCAACATCAAAATAGATGGCAAATCGATATTCATCCACCCCAAAATGGGATCGCCATAGGTTATGCAACCCATGGCCATGTAAGTTGAGGCTTCGCGGAGAGAGGCTCCAGGACAGTCTGGGCCCCCGCACCATCTGCAAGGGAAGGGTGATGGCTTCCCGTATCGCCGCCTGAAGACCAGCTCGCTCGGCCGCGGGCGGCGAGAACTCTGCCGCCCCTTCCTCTGCCCCCGCGCAAAAGTGGCTGTGGGTCAAAACCAATGGGATCCCATTTTGGGGTGGGTGCACCACCCATTTTCGTCGATTTTAGTTGGGATTGGGATGTTCACTGGGGGTACGGGATTTTGACCCATGGCCAAGTGGGTAAAACACAACTATACTAATTCACCGACTGGAAATACGGGATCTCCTCAAGGACCATGCAAGAAGATCTCGTTTTGCCCCCAGCTGGCTATTGACTCCCTTTCACAGAAAGATGGTGTCTGAACAAAAAAAAACATACTGCCGGCAATCTCCCACACCTATTTTTCGGACTAGTTCCCGGCAGTCAAGTGAGAACCAATGCATGCAGGGGGCCAAGCTCGATTTTCAGGGTTCCTTCTGGGACCCATGGTGGTTTCCTGTTAGGGAGGCTTAGGGATTCTCAACTAGGTCCTCCAGTAGAGAGGTTAGAATGAGGGTACCCTGTTTTCTGTTGTCTATGTTAGTTGGGGAACCCTCCCCAAAAAGTCCATTCCGGCGCCCGCCCAAACCGTAAGACTTCTTTCACCGTCTTGACCTGATTGGGGCCTCGCGTAGTTTTTGAGGCACCTCAAAGCAACTCAATCGCTTATAAGACATGCAAGGCGTGCACACGAAGGCTCAGAAGGCAAGCATTTTTACCCGCTCACAAGATCAAGTTGTGTGTACTTTCTTGGTGGAACAAACGGCGCAGTGTCATTGAGATGACCAGCATGGAGCCAACTTACCCAAAGCCTTGCTTGACATGTGCCCAAACAGGTGTTGTTGGCTTAGCCACTGAATTCCCGCCCGCTCCCGAGATTACGCCCGTGGGTTAATCTCACTGCTTGCCCATTCAATTCAAACGGAGTTCCCTTGTAATAGGCTGGACATGTCGGGAACCTGCTGAACCGTTCAGCTGTTCCGGTCCGCGGAACCCAAGGTGCTTGCGTTTCTCTTTCCCCCAATGCGTATGTTTCGATGGTGCCAACTTGTTGCGGCTGTGCTGTACCCGTTTGGAAACACAAACAACTCCATGGAGGTGAGGGTTGGAACGCCCTTTTCCAAGCCAGACCTTAGATCTTCCTCGCCGGACTTGGATAATTATGTCTGCCTTTGGGAGTCCCCTTTTTGGGGGCGGCTGAAGGACAACCAGCACAACCCACAGGTGGGCCGCGTACTTTTCACACGTTCCGCTCTTTCGACCTCCGCGAGTCTCCGGGGCACCTTGTCGCACGTAAAGTCCTGCCCTAAAAATTTCCGGTGACACCCAAAGTAGGCCACCTGTAAAAGGCTCACTTTTTTGGCCCGAAAAAACCCACTTGCGGCCCACTCCGGCCCACTCCGACCGGACCACCCCACACCGCCCGCCTTGGCCTCCTCCATGCCCAGAAGCTCCGGCTGGCCGGAGGGCTCCCGCACCGCCCTCCTAGCCAAAGCGAAAGCGTGGGATGGGTCTGAAGTGCATCTGGTCTCAGCAGCGAAAGCCCCGGAGGCGATCAAAAAAGCTTGCCCGCCCCCCCCCCAAATATAATATATGCATATACATATATATATATATATAAATATAAATATATATATATATATATATATTAAACAAAAGGACAACAACAATCATAAGAATATTAAATAAAGCAAACTGGACCCAGGAGATTCCTCGAATGAAGTTGTCTCAACTGGAACTCATGTGAATGAATCCATGTTCAACTCCCAAACCGAGACACACATTGGGGGAACCACCCCTACAAAGCCTCGTTTTAGCCCCAGATCGGCGAGCTCCTTCTATGCCCAAGCCACGTGCAACATAACGCCCAAAAGGCCGAAAAGACATGTGCGGCTAAGGCCAAGGTTGCTCTGAACAATAATCCCACCCTGCATGAAACAGGCGGCGACTCTCCGAAAAACGAAGCATGGCAACATATCCTAGCAGCCTCATTGCAAGGCTAGGGCGAAGAATGGCATTCAGCATACCAGCAGCTGCTCTGGAGGGAAGCTGAGGCGACCACTAAAGCCAGGATTCCCCCAAAAGGCCACGATGCACCAAGCCGTTCTAACGCGTTACACGTTGACTTGGTCCTCGACCACCAGGCCCGGAGATGTTCCAGGTCCCGTCTGGAATGACAAAGCCCACAGGGGTGGACCTTTGGGGGATTTCTGTCCACCAACCTCACTTGCCCAAAGCACCTGCGAAGAATAGGTCAACTACTTTTGGGACCTCTACTAAAAATAGGCCAGGGAAAGCCCAAAGGTCAAAAGGTCTTTGAACAACTGAGCCACCCTTTGGGGTCTTCCCATGAAAAAGACGACCATCCCCATGGAGCCAGCCGCCGAAATTTCGGCCCCCAGGCCGTCCCAGTCCCCCGGTCCCGCTGGCATCGCATTCTGCCTGGGACTCGGTGCCGCGGTGGTCCCCGAGACAAAGGCGCGCGCGGCGTCGCAAATTTCCGGGGCCGAAGCACGGAGTTGGTTTTGTCCGCCCGATCAAAAGCAGGACTTGGGGCAAAGCCGCTCAAACGGTCCCGAATGTCACGTCCATGGAAAAGCGCGGATGTCTTTTGGCTTTGGAACCCAATGGGGATTTAAATTGATCTTGTTTCGGCGTTCCATCATCCATGCCATGAAACATGGCTATAGTCAGCTTCCCCCCAGTTGGTGGCTTGGATTGATGGTTTAGTGGCTAAGGGCTGGGTTCCCTACAAGAACCAGGGCTTCAAATCCAACTCCAAACCAATCCAAGCCATGAAAGGGTTACCCGAATGTACAAGAGCAGGTTCTATCCGTTTCCATCCGATTTGGATGCCAGCTGCTTCTGCTTGGCCCACATCCGGACAAGTCAGTCCGCGTGAGCGGCGGACACTCGTTGCATGCTCCCCCCTCCCCCAAGTGCCTGTGGCTCAAAAAAAAAAGCCGGAACTCCAACATGGGCTGCCCCATCGGTCAGTGGAATGGACCAAGACCCGCGGCTTTGCCCCGCTGCAAGCCTCGGAAACCGAGACCTTGTGCCTCAGTCTGCTTTAACGGGAAGCGCAGAGAAGCCCCAGAATTCATCTGGGGGGCGTGCAGCCTTCCTTCCGGGAACGGTTTTTTTTTTTGGTTAACTAGGGCTGGTGTTTTCCTGGGGCTGGTTTTGCGCAGGGCTGGCAACATGCCCAGCATCACCAGCATCACTTGGCCCTGTTCTTGCCTATTGGCTCTGATTGCGTGGCAGTTGCGACTTGCTGGGCGCTGGTTTAAGTTAGGGGGGGTTTTGGCTGGAATAGATGTTGCGGTGGTTTGGGGTTGATTTAGACGAAGCGAAGGGCTGACATCCAGGTGAGTGGGTTTGGGTTGGTTTGGAGCTGATTTGTGTTAGGTGTGCTGCTGGTTTAGCAGCTGCTCGAAAACTCCTTTCCTCTTGAAACGCACCCGAAAACAACAACTGTCCGCTGCCTTTTTCGGGCCATTGGTCCGCCCATTTTTCGAACCGAAAACCGCAGCCAAGCCCATATCCAGCCTCGGAGCTCACCAAAGGCGCCAGCAGCAGCAGGCGCAACAACGTTGGCCGCATCCTGCCGCGAGCTTCGGCTCGAAGCTTCGGCTCTTCTTGCTGGTGCGATAGCTCGGGCATGTATGGCATGAACCCAGACCCCCTTAGAGGAAACCACCAGTTGGATGGCTAAGGGTCATTCATAATGAATGGAATGAACCCAGAGATCCCCTAGGAAACCACCACCAAAAAATGGTTGATCTTCGGGCTTTCGCGTTCAGCCGATGGCTTCGGGCTGTTGGTGTTCGGCGCTTGCGCCGCGATGGCATCTGTTGTTTCGCGCTTGGTGCCGCGATGAGAAGAGCGGCGCACCTCGAGCTCGGAAAAGAAGAACACGTGCCGAGGAAATCTTGGTTGACGTTGGGTTTGGGGAGAACAAAAGGAAAAACTTTCGCAGTTCAGTGGTTGGATTTCAACCACTAAGCCACAACAAGCAACATGTCTCCAATGTTTCCCAACAACAACCAAGTAAGCCTAGGCGCATTCGAAGGGGATTTGGGGAGTGGTTTGTTTGCTTGGTACCGTTGCTATGGACCCCGGGGAGGTTTTTCCCTGGAAGACACGCCACGATATGAGGCGAGATGGGGCGACTTTTTTCTCGGACACTTTGACATCAGAAATGCATGGGGATGGATGGGGGGTGTTCCAATCAACAAATCGATCTCAACCTCAAAACAAATCCGAAACTGGCGAGCGTCAGGCAAGACCCCCTCAGAGGAAATGGGCCATGATGGTTCTCATATTGCCGTGCCGCCGAAAAATAATGTAGCGTTTGGGGACCACATTCCCGGCACGCACATCTGCACCATGGCGAAACAATGGCGAACAAAAAGCACCAATCTCAATTCCGGGATCCAAGAATCACCGACCTCAATTCAGGGATCCTCACAGCCTTTGCAGCTCAACCCGCAGCATCGCACGACAAACTTCCCTTGAAATTGGAAGGATGTGCGAAACAGGGCAGGCTACAGGATTGAGCAACGGGGCATCACATCTTGCCAACTCCCTACATCTGCAGAGGGAAGTATGCTGGTTTCCTGGTTGGGACAGAAAACAACACGCCCAAGGGCGCGAGCGCAGAAACATGGCGACCATGAAGAAGGAAGCCAAAGGAAGCGTCCGGCGAATTGCTACCCTATGATCATTCTGCAAAGGCTCGGAGCCATCGCGTGATGATCCACTACGCAAGGCACAAACCTTTTCTGCTTCGCCAGGGTTCCCGCTGATGAGGTGCAAGCCTTTGCAGCTTTCTGCTTGCTTCAGGCGGGTTGAGGACCCGACGCAGGCAGCTCCAAGGTGCGAACCAGGCGCGAGTTTTCGACTAACTCGACCAACTCGCCGGAGGAATTCACATGTTGGTTGTGCTTCTCCTTGAAAGCACATCGTGCACACCATGTTTGCATGGAAACTCCGACCTGCTCAGCCAGGGCCCGGCCTGCACGGTGCTGCCCGTTCATTGGCACCAGCTTGCGCGAGCCGAAAAGGTTCCGATGGCAGGCACTGAGCTCCCAACATTCCGCTCGAAGCTGGTTGGGTAGTATTGCAAGCCTATCAAGCATCAGCTTTCTTCAAAGTGGAGGGTACCCCTTCTGGGTGGTTTGGAGGGAACTAAAAGGAAACCATTGTGGAGGTCCCCTATTGCGACACATACCAGCACCCAGCAGAAAATGCGTAGTGATGGCAAGTTTGTCGCCTGATGGTGGAAATCTCAAGTCAAGTGCCAAAGCAAAAACAAAAAACATGTCCCAGTCCATTCGACAGAATAAAACCAGAAACGGTCCGTACCAACTTCCATGGGCACTTGCGCTGAAACCGAGAACAAGACACAGAGGGGTTAAGACACATGCAGTTGCGTCTCTCTGGCATCCTTCACTTGGGATTGTGCCCAAAAACACAACAACTTGGACCCCGCAAAATGGGTGAGTGTTCCTTTTGCCACCCTGAACAGAATATGGAGCACCACGACCTTTTGAACGATTCACTGTGGCCTGAAGTCATCCCCCCGCAGCTCGCGCCGTGTCTTTTTGCCGCTTCGCGCCACTTGAAAGCGGTGCATCGCTCGGCTGCCTTCATGGGAGCGACTCTTCGTCTCACGGGGAGCAGTCGTCCTTACCTTCACAAAAGCTCTCGTCCACCGTGGAGAATCCGAAGGTGTCGCTTTCAAGCTTCGGACAATATCCGTGGCAGTAACCACTCCCGAGCTTCTCGTTCTCCAAATTCCACGTGTAGCAGCAGTTCGAGTGCTTTGCGGCCAACTCATTCCCATAGGTCCGCTCCCGGTGGGCATTCACCAACGAAGCTCCGGAGATGAGGAGGAAATGCCAAGCCCGAGCCATCGCGGCGGGCGTGGTTATAGGTTGCGCAGACTTACAGCGGATTGAACTGAAGAGGCTGCAAGGTGCGGCTGATTTGTCCGCACCCTGGCACTATATGACTTAGCCATCACAAAGACCTATGCATGATCAGGTTGTCTGCAAACCCGTACAGTGGCACCTTCCGCATACCCGCACAAACACCCACGCATCCACTTGTTTTGGCCACACGTTGAAAGTGCTCTGAGCCAACTTATGCTGATAGGCACATGAATAAAACCAGAAACGCTCCGTACCAACTTGTCCATACACCATGGGAACTTGCGCTGAAACCGAGAACAAGCACCCAGGGGTTAAGACACATGCAGTTGCGTCTCTCTGGTATCCTTCACTGGGGATTGTATCCAAAAACACAACAACTTGGACCCTGCAAAATGGGTGAGTGTTCCTTTTATTACCCTGAACAGAATATGGAGCACCACGACCTTTTGAACGATTCACTGTGGCCTGAAGTCATCCCCCCGCAGCTCGCGCCGTGTCTTGTTGCCGCTTCGCGCCACTTGAAAGCGGTGCATCGCTCGGCTGCCTTCATGGGAGCGACTCTTCGTCTCACGGGGAGCAGTCGTCCTTACCTTCACAAAAGCTCTCGTCCACCGTGGAGAATCCGAAGGTGTCGCTTTCAAGCTTCGGACAATATCCGTGGCAGTAACCACTCCCGAGCTTCTCGTTCTCCAAATTCCACGTGTAGCAGCAGTTCGAGTGCTTTGCGGCCAACTCATTCGCATAGGTCCGCTCCCGGTGGGCATTCACCAACGAAGCTCCGGAGATGAGGAGGAAAAGCCAAGCCCGAGCCATCGCGGCGGGCGTGGTTATAGGTTGCGCAGACTTACAGCGGATTGAACTGAAGAGGCTGCAAGGCGCGGCTGATTTGTCCGCACCCTGGCACTATATCACTTAGCCATCACATCAAGACCTATGCATGATCAGATTGCCTGCAAACCTGTACAGTGGCACCTTCCGCATACCTGCACAAACACCCACGCATCCACTTGTTTTGGCCACACGTTGAAAGTGCTCTAAGCCAACTTATGCTGATAG